ACTCGAGTATATACTGTAATTAAGTGGTCTGGGTGCCAGGTCCAGCTAGGATTAACCCTTTCTTCTATAAACATAGCAGTTTCAGAGAAACTGCTATGTTTATAAATAGGTTAATCCAGCCTCTAGTGGCTGTCTCATTGACAGCCGCTAGAGGCGCTTGCGTGCTTCTCACTGTGAAAATCACAGTGAGAAGACGCCAGCGTCCATAGGAAATCATTGTGAATGCTTTCCTATGGACTGGCTGAATGCACACATGCGCATTCAGCTGAAGAGAAGGAGAGGAGGCGGAGAGCTCCCCGCCCGGCGCTGGAGAAAGGTGAGTGTTTAACTCCTTCCTCTCCCCAGAGCCCGGTGGGAGGGGGTCCCTGAGGGTGGGGGCACCCTCAGGGCACTATAGTGCCAGGAAAATGAGTATGTTTTCCTGGCACTATAGTGGTCCTTTCAATTAAAAAAAAGTCAAGCTGTGACAATAGTTAACATGAAGAATTATTCCAGATCAGCTCTCTTTGCCTAAATTTTGCCATTAAGATATAGACTTTGCGATTAGAAGAGGGAATAGTGCCTTGAAAAGTTCTCTGATGTTAGTAGGTATGTACCTAAACAAAAAACAGTACGGTAACGGGTATGTAGTGTAGTATGTCAAATGTAGATAAAAGAAAAGGAGATCACTTACAATGTGTAGCGCTATCAGTTAGCTCTACTTCTCTGCACCTAGACGATAAAATCCACGCCTGGAGATATGTAGTGTAACTCTGGTGTATATGGTGAATAATCCATAGAATATGCAAAATAAGCAGAACACAAATCTAGTGTAGTATATATCAAATAAGGGGTGGAATAGATAATTATATAGAAAAGGCACTCAGAGGCTCATAGAATACAGGGCATAGTGGTAAAACCCCCACTTGTTAAAAGCTCAAGATTCCCATGTTGGTATATGTGAAATAAAATGTAGTGCTCTCTGTGATAAACAAAAGTATAATAAAAACATTCAAGCGGTACTTACTTGAGTAAAGCAAAGTAACTGTTTTGCTTAATCCTCAGGAATTAGGTGGTATGTTCCCTAATACAGAAGAAGATGTGCAAACTCGAAAAGAGTCCAGGATTGTAGTAAAATTCACCAATTTATTGATAAACATTTTATACATAAATAAAAATACAGGATAAAAAGTGAATAAAACCAGTAGAATATTAACAATAATGCGTTTTACCTATAACAAGGCTTTTTTTCCTTTAATTTACTGTTGACAAACTGTTGTACTGTTTCGTTATATACCTACCAACACCTGAGAACTTTTCAAGGCACTACTCCTAATCGTGTACACTTTTTCTTGGACCAGAATAGATAAACTATGGTTTAGGTTATTTGGGCTGCCTTCTACATTCCACCAAAAGCACTAGAATTCTACCATTCTTACATTTTTATTTATACGCCTTGATTTAATATATCTGGATTTAAAATATATATATATATATATCTGGGGCGGGGCCGGACTCTTAGCTGAGCAGAAGCAGGATAGAGCTGTTCCTGCTCCTTAAGGCAAATTTTGTTGAATATAAGCCTTAAACGAATCTTAAATGACTCAAATGGGCCACCAAGAGGTGATAGCCCCATAACCGACAGGCTACTGCACACATTTCAGATGAGTACTTACCAGCGACACTACCCTCACTCTCCCAGCTCAAAAGCTTATCTTGCTGAACAAAGCGAGACAGAAAATGGCGCCACAGGAGGTGAAACTTTCCGCCGGCATGCAAACCTACACGGCTGCACCCGGTGAGCACACCACATAGGCGCAAGGCGGCACAAACAGAGGTACCCAAGCGACCCAAAGCAAGACCACTGCAGACGCCCAAGATGCTGTTGAGAACCCCAAACATGAAAGCAGACATGACCTACCTGTTTACACCTGGTTGCTATGCCCTCTAGTATGCCTCTTTACGACAGGACTGTGTCCTTCCCTTACAAGGCATCGGCTGACCAGGGTCTGGGACTGAGCTGGGAGATATTAAGCCTTTGATCACTCACAACCTGTAGCCATCCCCATTAGTGCAGATATAGCTACAATGCTGTTATGTTATTACCCTTTTGTTTAAAATCTCATACTGTCAGGCGGTGGCCTCCTACGAGAATAACCCTGTTACACATCTAATTGATCCCTCTCTTGCTTTTTCTTTACCAAAAAAAAAAAAACAGTGCAGCATTCCTTGACTACACATACATGTATTTTGTTCTCTTTTTTATTGTGTCATGACTAAATCCTGTAATTTACACTGCACTACAGAAATAAACAATAATAAAAAAAAATTATATATATATATATATATATATATATATATATATCAAAATATTTTTCAGGGGGCGGGGGCCTGACTGCCATGCTGACCGGTCACATGCGGGAGAGGCTCCTGCAGAGTCCATTTTGGCTGATAATCTGGGCTATTAACACTACTCTAAACCAGAAGGGAACAGTACAGTACACAGGCAGTTGTTGGCGCCACTGCAATTCCAAGATCTGGAGTTTCGGTGCCCCTCCAGGTTACATGAAACTTTGGAGCCTGCAGTCTACTCAGGTGAAGAGCAGGATGGACGGCCGCCACCCTGTTCACATACCTGGTTGCCACACAATGGGTCTCTGATACTCCTCATAGGCTCCTTCCCACTCCTTCTGGACAGGGGGAGGTTATCCCGGTCCCCGCTGGACGGTTCCGGGGCTGATGTCGACAAGATTGGCTGAGACTGTCCTGGAACTAAGATGGCCCCTCAGTGATTCCCACTGGATCGGCCCCACCACTCGGGCCACAGAGGGGAGACTGACTGACACCCTGAGCGATACCTTGGCCAAGAGGTCTCACTACCATGCCAGTATGTCCTGGAGAGTCTGCGAGAACTCATGGCCACATTGCACATTCGACGGCGGTGCCCAGATGCTGCCTCTCGCTTACCCAAGCCTCAAGCCAAATGGAGTGGAATTCTCCATCGCATGAAGCTGACCCACTCCAGGCAGACGCAGATAATCGCCAACACGCAGACTGTCTTTCTGGAGGGAAAGCTCCATGACTCGGGAGCCACCCTAACCCTGGTAAAGAGCCACCTAGTAGCCAGCAACGCCAAGACCAACAACACCGTGGCCGTAAGGGTAGTCGGGGTAGTAGTGTACTAGCTACCCATAGCAAGGGTACATTTGAATTGGGGAGCGGGGTCTGGAACGGTGGAGGTGGGGTTAATGCCGCAATTACTGGCAGAGGATTTGTTGGGGAATGATCTGGGGAAGCTCACATCCGCCTTTGAGCCCCCGACCACGACTGGAGAAGCACACCCGGTTGTTACCACAACTCGCACCCGTAGGTTCAGGTAAGAGATCCTACCCCAACCTTAGAATGATTCCCCTGGGCTCGCCCTAGTGAATTTGAGGCAGAGGTGATCACTGACCCCACGCTACAAGTATATAGAGACAAGGTCACCTCTAGCCAACCGGGGGCGGAGTGGGAGAGATTTGTATGGGACAAGAAATTGTTGTACAGGGAATCTGAGAAAATTGTAGACTGGTCCGACTCGATTATCACTTGGCAGCTGGTGGTACCTCAGCGGTACTGACCAGAGGTACTCCGGATAGCGCATGATATCCCGTTATCTGGACTTTTAGGGGTCAGTCACACTCGGTATCGATTGACCCAGAGTTTCTTTTGGCCAGGAATCAGTCAGGAAATACTGTAATGAATTATTATTTGGGAGGTGGGTGCGGGGCCCCCTGGATCTTATCAGGGAACATTGGGAGGGAGACCGTAGCCAGGATGGTACTCCCATCATACCATTTGTGCTGGAATTCCGGGACCGACTGGAGGAATTAACTAGGTCGGTATGGGAAAACCTTCAGGTGGCCCAGAATCATCAGCACACATGGAATGATCGGGGAAAGAGACCGTAGCTTTCAGGTCGGACAGAAAGTTTTAGTTTAAAAACCTGTCCGACACTATAAGCTACAGGCTGCTTGGCAAGGACTTAGTGTGTTGGAACAGAGATGTGACACCACCTATGTAATTGGTCCATGTGCAGGGTCAGAGGGGCGACGCATGCTCCATGTGAACATGCTGAAGCTCTACCATGAGCGCTCCGAGGAGGTGACTGCTATATGCACATCCACTTCTGAGGGGTTTGACAGTCTTCCCCTACCAGACCTCCTAGGGGACGGAAGTCTGTCTAGTGACATAGAGAAGGTCAAATTGGGAGATCAGTTGAGCCCACAGGAGCGTATTGAGATACAACAATTGTTGAGAGAAAAGAAAGACACCTTCTCTAATGTACCTGGATACACTCCTCTGGCCACTCACCGAGTAGAGACGCCAGGTCAGCTCACCATGCGCCAGACCCCATACCGCATCCCTGAGGGGGTACGGGAAAACAGGTGCAAGGAGATCCATGAGATGCTCCAACTGGGGGTGATTTAGCCCTCGGACAGGCCCCTGGGCCTCCCCAGTAGTCCTCGTACCCAAGCGGCATGGTACGACCCGCTTCTGCATGGACTACCGGAGGTTAAATGAAAAGACAGTGTCTGATGCCTATCCTATGCCCAGGTTAGACTAGCTGCTAGACCGGATGGCCAGGGGGCAATACCTCATATCTTTGTGAGATATTGGCAGATCCGCCTGGCCTCTGAAGCCATCCCTAAGCCAGCCTTTGTCACCCCATTTGGCTTATAGCAATTTAAGGTAATGCCGTTTGGGATGAAAAATGCTCCGGCTACCTTCCAAAGGATGGTGGACCGACTCCTAGATGGGTTCCAGGACTACACCTGCGCCTATTTAGATGACATCGCCATCGTTAGTGATACATGGCAGGAGCACTTGGCCCATATAGGAGCGGTCCTAGACAGGATTAGGAAAGCAGGCTTAACGCTGAAGCCTGCCAAGTTAATATAGGAATGGCCGAGGTACAATACCTTGGACATAGAGTAGGATGTGGTAAGCAGAAACCTGAGCCAGCTAAAGTGGAGGCCGTCGCCCAGTGGCCAACTCCCAGAATGAAGACTCAGGTGTTAGCCTTTTTAGGGACGGCAGGGTACTATAGGAAGTTTGTTCCCAACTATAGCGCCCTGGCCAAGCCCCTTATTGATCTTACCTGGAAAAACCTTCCCCGCCAAGTAACCTGGACCCCGGAGTGTGAGCAGGCATTCCATCAATTGAAAAATTCACTTAGAAATGCCCCTGTCTTGGCAGCTCCCAATCCAACTAAACATTTTCTTCTTCACACAGACGCTTCTATGTTTGTATTGGGGGCAGTACTGAGCCAAGTCGGGGCCGATGGCGGAGAACATCCAGTGGCTTACATCAGTCGGAAGCTGTTACCCAGAGAAGTAAGCTACGCCGCCATCGAGAAGGAAGGCCTGGCTGTGGTGTTGGCCCTGAAAAAGTTATAACCCTACTTGTATGGACAGCCCTTTTCTTTGCGCACGGATCACAACCCGTTGGTCTGGTTAAACTGGGTGGCTGGGGACAACGCCAGGCTGCTGCGCTGGAGTTTGGCGCTGCAGCTATTTTATTTCAACATTCAGTACCGCCCTGGGAAACAGAACGGAAATGCTGACGGGTTGTCTAGACAAACTGACTTGGAAAAATGATCTGTGAGCAACCCCAGACATCCCCAAGCTGATCCGTTGAGGATCAGACTGTGTTTGCCGGCTTGTGGTCAAGCGGGAGCAGTGTACCGTAGTGTTTCTTACTACTCCAGATTTTATTGTTGGCTGTTGCTATCACTAATTTTTTAAGTATTTTATTCCATCCTTCACGGTTCAGTACACTGAGAAAAGAACCAGGTAACCCTCTATCTGTTGTGTCATTCGTCTGGTTGTTTGGTAAGAATTTACTTTGAACCATCTGAAGTTGTGCCATTCGACAAACGAACAAACTACCGAGCAACCAGGCCACCCCGGAGAGGAGCGTGGCACTAATTGACCTTCCCCATCGTTATTCACTTTACCTCAATTGACAATTACCCAAACACACTATGTATTCCCTGGGTGGCCGCCATTCGGCATACGAACACGTGGCGGCAGCCATCTTGCCATACGAACGCATCAGTGGCGTTTGGTCGTCGAGTGTCTGAAACCCAAATCGGAAACTTGACAACGCGAACACTGCAGAGACCTCCATACTTCCACCCGTTTGTGAGAAAACATACGAACGGCACGGCGTTCGGTAAAAAGATTCACACGAACGAGGGGAATCATCCGAACCCAGGCAGAGCCCATTATATTGAATGATTTCGTGATTTTCATCTCACGAACGGAGACCGACCGCAAGGCCAAAACACATGGAACTATTTTCGGCTAACACCTCGTGTGCGGTCGGTAAAAGGAAGACCTCGAACCCCTGAACCGATCTGGGTGATTTTTGAGTATGTTGATCACCCAGATCAGGGCTATCAGGGAATATGTAATTTATGGGTGTAAGTTATAGTTTTGGGGTACATCCAGGCATTGGGTAAAAATGTGTGTTTCAAATGTACAGTTAATTTTATCTACCAGGCTAATGGGAGGGACTGTGTGGGCTGTACCCAGCTAGGGATTGGATAATGCCTAATTTTCTGTGGGTGTCTCCCTTGCATGGGAAAATTGCATAAAAGCTGGATATGTGGCATTAAAATTCAGTTCTGCTCCTGATAGAGTGTCGTCCAGTTATTGGGAAAGGTGATGGGATATTCGTCAATTATAAACTACTTGATCCCGAGTAACTATTGGAATACCAGCGGAGAAAGTCTATGTTAAATTAGTGCTCCGCTACAGTGCCTTACTAGGATAGGCTCAAGTCTCAAAAACATGGGTATGTCAGGTCATACCAAACCTTCTCCAGATTATTGACTCAGTGGTTCTCAGGTATATAGAAACAAAGAGAAAACAAGATACTATAGTGCAGGACTGACGAGATGAGGTTGTAGAATAAAATAGCAGTACAAAGACTTGCTCACCTATAATAGAGCCAAATTTACTAGGCTCTAAGTGTCAGGGCATAAGTGACTTTAAGGGAGACACTACCCTTCTTGTGCACAGGAAACAGTAGAGGGTCCACTGCATGGTATTAATAAAATAACACTTTATTACTTATCACAAAATAAACATAGATATAAAACTTGGATCAATAATACCAGTCCCAGTATTCTGTAAGGTGGACTCTCCTCGCACTCCGAGATGCATTTCGCCGGTAGGCTCTCTCAGGCTTTCAAAAGATAATCCAAAAATATTAAATTGAGACAAAATATCATCCCATCTAGACTTCCAGAGAAGAGAAATCAATGTATCCTAGTTATTTATCAGCTTCATAAGTCACCTCGACATTCAGAGGTATGAAACAATATGAAACTTGCAGGAGCTTGTGTTTGAGTGATAAGAAAAAATAAAATGGGACAGATTGCAGAGTTAAGTAATATAATTGGTGAGAAACAAAACACGACAGATGCAAATGAATCACATGCAAGGATAACAAAATCTTTTCTATTAAACACACATGAAACCTTTCACCAACGCCATTTACTGGAGTGGTTGAAAACCCTGCAATGGCAGCTATTATGTTGAGAGAATGACAAGTTGGAGAAATCTTAGGCAGCATACATTCTCTTTTCAAGTTTTGTTTTCTCAGATAAGTTTCAAGTTGAAGACTGTTTGGCAACCTTGGTAACCTGCTTATTATTGACACGATATGTGCAATGGATTACTGACTTATAATGGTTACCAAGTTGTATCACATTCTTCCACGATCCTAGGGGTTACAGTCTTTTCATCTCCTCACCCACCCCCAATTTTAATTTATTTTCACAATTATATGAGCACTTCACAGTTGACAATAATACATATGGACAATTGGAAGAACATGATGGTATCTTATATACATATACAGGGCTGGTGCAAGGATTTCTACCGCCCTAGGCAAAGATCCATTTTGCCGCCCCTCATGTCACTCACTTACTGACAAATACACACTGGCAGACACACACACTCACTGACAGTCATACACTCACTGACACACACACACACACACACACACACACACACAAACTCACTGACAGACATACACTCACTCACTGACACACACACACAGACATACACTCACTAACACACACAAACACTCACTCGCTGACACACACTGACAGACATACACTCAGTCACTGACACACACTCACTGACATACATACACTCACTCACCGACACACACACAGACACTCACTGACATACATACACTCACCCACTGACGAACACTCACTGACAGACACACTCACTGAAAGCCAAACACTCACACACTAATTGACAGAAACACACACACACACACACAGACACACACAGGCAGACACTCACTGACCTACATACACTCACTCACTGACAGACACACACACACTCACTGAGACACAGAATCAGACATCCAGTTTCCCTACCTCCCTGGGGAAGCTACTCACTCCTCCAGTGCGCTGTTTAGTATGCCAGAATGACGTCATATTCCGTCTCCCGGCATCACAGCGGGCGCATGAGGGAGGAGTGCGAATCTGCAAGAAGAGCCTCCCTAGCCGTCCACACTGTCGTCGCCTGCTTCCTCTCCTCCAGCATTTATTGGCAGAACAGGCACTTGCCATCAGGGTAAGCAGGTGCCTACCCTGGCATACTGAAGGACAGCTTCGAGGGCACCCATTTTCGGGCGTCTGGAGGATCGGCTGAGGGTGGGTGCTATAGAGCCGCTCGCCCATGGCTGTGGCCCAGGACAGGTGGGGCCCACCAGAAAATATTCCGGTGGGTGCCCCCAGCAAGCCAGAGCCCTAGGCGAATGCCTAGTTCACCTAATGGTTGCGCTGGCCCTGTACATACATTAAGCAAAAGTACAGCCACGTACAAAACATGTACACTCCTCAAAATAAAGGGAACACTTAAACAACACAATGTAACTCCAAGTCAATCACATTTCTGTGAAATCAAACTGTCCACTTAGGAAGCAACACTGAGTGACAATCAATTTCACATGCTGATATGCAAATGGGATAGACAACAGGACAACAGGTGGAAATTATAGGCAATTAGCAAGACACCCCCAATAAAGGAGTGGTTCTGCAGTTGGTGACCACAGACCACTTCTCAGTTCCTATGCTTCCTGGCTGATGTTTTGGTCACTTTTGAATGCTGGCGGTGCTTTCACTCTAGTGATAGCATGAGACAGAGTCTACAACCCACACAAGTGGCTCAGGAAGTGCAGCTCATCCAGGATGGCACATCAATGCGAGCTGTGGCATGAAGGTTTGCTGTGTCTGTCAGCGTAGTGTCCAGAGCATGGAGGCGCTACCAGGAGACAGGCCAGTACATCAGGAGACGTGGAGGAGGCCGTAGGAGGGCAACAACCCAGCAGCAGGATCGCTACCTCCCCTTTGTGCAAGGAGGAACAGGGGGAGCACTGCCAGAGTCCTGCAAAATGACCTCCAGCAGGCCACAAATGTGCACGTGTCTGCCCTAACGGTCAGAAACAGACTCCATGAGGGTGGTATGAGGGCTCGACGTCCACAGGTGGGGTTGTACTTACCTCCCAACACCGTGCAGGACGTTTGGCATTTGCCAGAGAACACCAAGATTGGCAAATTCGCCACTGGCGCCCTGTGCTCTTCACAGATGAAAGCAGGTTCACACTAAGCACATGTGACAGACATGACAGAGTCTGGAGACGCCGTGGAGAACATTCTGGCCCGCCCATTCCCCAGACCTGAATCCAATTAAGCACATCTGGGACATCATGTCTCGCTCCATCCACCAACGTCACGTTGCACCACAGACTGTCCAGGAGTTGGCAGATGCTTTAGTCCAAGTCTGGGAGGAGATCCTTTAGGAGACCATCCGCCACCTCATCAGAAGCATGCACAGGCGTTGTAGGGAGGTCACACAGGCACGTGGAGGCCACACACACTACTGATCCTCATTTTAACTTTTTTTTAAGGACATTACATCAAAGTTGGATCAGCCTGTAGTGTGTTTTTCCACTTTAATTTTGAGTGTGACTCCGTATCCAGTCCTCCATGGGTTGAAACATTTGATTTGCATTTTTTTATTTTTGTGTGATTTTGTTGTCAGCACATTCAACTATGTAAAGAACAAAGTATTTCAGAGGAATATTTAATTAATTCAGATCTAGGATGTTTTATTTTTGTGTTCCCTTTATTTTTTTGAGCAGTTTATATACCATAAAACAAATTTTGTTGTCTAGTGTCCAGATAAATCAGCATAGAGTATTAACAGTCCTTATAAACTGTACCTGCTGACAAGTGAATGTGTTACAAGCAGCTTAGGAATTTT